GTAACAGCAAAACTAGCAGATTTCTTTTTCCTTCTTCACAATTTCTGAGAGAAGATTCATTCTTTTTGTAGATTTTAACAACCTCAACATACAATTATTTCCTTATTAAAGGAGCCACTTCTGTCACTTCAGATGGAGCCAGCATGTGTTGTTGCAGAATCAGTGGCCTTGAAGGATGAGGGAGGAAGGTGGCTTTCAAAACCTAGACACAGTTTCATCAAATTCCCTATATAGGCCTGCCTTCCCCAGAGATTAGGTGGCTGATTCTCCATAGCACTTCTCCGTACACAGTCCTCTGAGCAGGGTCCAGGTGCTACCACTCCTGTCAAATCAAGTCTTCATTGTCATCCTCCAGTGTCACTTGTCCTGCAGCAACATGATGGCCCCACCCACAAGGTTAGCCTGGGTGCTGAGGAAAAGTTATATGGGAACTTCCTGTTTCTGAAGTACTAGCAATGATCAAGGATGGTAGATTCCTCTTTGTCGCCTCCCCAGTAGAATGATCAGACCTGGCCAACATGGAAGTGGGCAGCTATAGTGCAGTCCCTGAAGCTGCCCCTTTCTCAGCATCAGAGGCCCCTACCCTAAGCAGGTGACCTGAAATCTTGAAACTTATCTTCTTTCAGGTTGTTAAAATCCCATATCAGACCTGATCTTCATGTGTGAGAAAGAGGACCTTTGGATGCAGGGAGGAAAATCTCAAGTCACTTAGGTAAGTGGGCACTGTTAAGAGGAAGAAGTAGAAGATTTCATTTGGTGAGTGGGAGGTCAGCTCTTTTGCCATGTCTTCCATTAAGGATGTAGGCCTCTGGTGGTTATTATATGAGATGAGAATTTCTCCCATTAAAGGACTTTTCCACAGCTGCTTTTCATGGCCAACTTTTGAGAACTAGCCCTGTCTCACTTCCTTTTCCTCAGGAACTGATTGCTGCCCCCTTCAGCTGGAATGAGCATTCTAGGATGCCCTCTCCTTCCCAGGCCTTTCAACTTTCCCTCTATCCAGTTGTCATCAACTCCCCTCCTTAGGCATTCAAACATTTATAGATGGATGCTTTTTCAATCTGTGACTTCTGTTTCTACTACATCCTTGTTTCATCTTGAGAAAACCCCCAAACTATTTTCGCCTTGTGTTTTACAATCTGATACCACCTTCCCCAAATTTAAACTTCTTTCAAGGTTCACCTTTAAATGGCCCCGTCATTTTATTCTCTTTGTTCTTCCTTGTCAAAGGGATAGAGTATTTGTTCTAATTGTTGTTGTTAGAGGAAAAACAATTTATATAGTTTGAGCTGTATTTAACAACCTTGATAAATTATTCTAATAATTTATCTAGGGATCCTTTGGATTTGCTATGTATGTCCTATCTACAGAGATTGAAAGTTATTCATTTCCAGCCATCGCTCCTTTTGCTTTTTCTTGCTTTATCACACTGCCTCACATGTTCAGTATTATGTTGAACAGATGTGGGCTTAACAAGCATGCTCGTCTCTTTCATAGTCACAGCAGTGAAGATTTTCCCATGTCACCATTAAGGTTTTTTAAAATATTTTTTAGTTATACATGGACACAATATCTTTATTTTGTTTATTTATTTTTATGTGGTGCTAAGATCAAACCCAGCGTCTCTCACATGTGAGGCGAGTGTTCTACCGCTGAGCCACAACCCCAGCCCCACCACTAAGTTTTACTATAGTTTTTTGATTGTTTGCATTGGAGTTTGAACCCAGGGTGTTCTACCAGTGAGCTATATCCCCAGCCCTTTTTATTTTTTATTTTGAGACAGGGTCTCACTAAGTTGATGAGGCTGGCCCACAAATTGTGATCCCTCTGTCTCATCTTCCCAAGTAGCTAGGATTACAGGCATATGCCACCACACTTAGGCTTGACTACATTTTTAAAAAAATACTCTATGTATGAAAGAGGAGGTTTGGATGAAGGGAAGAAAATATCAAGTTACTTAGGTGGCATAAGGAGTCCTGCTATTATGTATAATTGTAATGCACCAGTAAAAATATTTTTTGGGGGTACTGAGGATTGAACTCAGGGGCACTGAACCACTGAACCCCATCCCAGCCCTATTTTGTATTTTATTTAGAGACAGGGTCTGAGTTGCTTAGCGCCTCACTTTTTGCTGAGACTGGCTTTGAACTCATGATCCTCCAGCCTTAGCCTCCCAAGATGCTGGGATTACAGGTGTGCACCACCCCATGCCTGGCAAAACATAAAATATTTTTAAAACTGAAAAATACTACCACCAGACTAATTATGTTCCTAGTTTGCTAAATGTTTATATTGTTAATGGGTTTCAAATTTTATGAAATCCCTTTTTTTCTTTATGGATCTTTACAATATAATTATGTGATTACATTGACTATGTTATCAAATTTATTGCCATAAATCTTTTTTCATAATTCCAATATTATCCCTTTTTTGGAGGGTGAACTAGGGATTGAACCTAGGAGTGCTTTACCACTGAGTTACATCCCCAGCCCTTTGTATGTTTGTGTGTGTGGTGCTGGGGATTGAACCCAGGGCCTTGTGCATGCGAGGCAAGCACTCTTATCAACTGAGTTATATTCCCAACCCTCCCCATCCCTTTTTAAGTTTGTATTTTATAACAGGATCTCACTCAGTTGCTTAGGGCCTCACAATTTTGCTGAGGCTGGCTTTGAACTTGCAATCATTCTTTCTCAGCCTCTTGAATCCCTTTAAATGTTTATACTATACTGAAGTCCACTGTATCAAGGACATTTGAAAATTTGTTTACTTTTTTTTTTCCTGACTGGAATTTGGGATTTTATTAATCTCTTCAAAGAACTAGCTTTGATTTTTCTCTATTATTTATCTACTAGGGGAATAAGATGAACTGGGTATGGTGGCACACACCTGTAATTCCAGCAACTCGGGAGGCTGAGGCAGGAGGATCATAAGTTTGAGGCCAGCCTCAGCAACTCAGCAAGACCCTCATAACTTAGCAAGACCCTGTCTCAAAATAAAAGTGGCTGGAGTGTATCTCAGTAGTAAAGCACCTTTGTGTTCACAATACCCCCAGTACAAATAAACAAAAGAAAGAAAAGAAAATGAAACCAATATGTTGGAAGAGACTCATAAGAAGTGCTATACATAGGTAGTGTCACACCACATTTTGTCACTTACCTTAACTGCCTTTCACTCCACTATATCCACCACCCTCTCTCACACAGTGCCTCACACCACTCCACTTATTCCACTTTGTTTGCATCACCAACATTCATTCTGTCCACTAAGTCTTATCTCCAAAACATGACCCATATGCACTGGCACTTGCTGTTCCTTCTCTAGTACCTCCCTCCACTGGGTATCCCCCCCACCCCATTATTTCATATTGACCAAGACCAAGCCCCTCATTATACCCCATTCAACCACACTTGGTCCTTTATATTATCCTTCTCTCTCTCTTTCCCCTCATTTCAGCCCATTTATTCACATACTGCAGTCCATCCCCATCCCTTTCCCTCTAGGCCTGTATCTCATTTACCTTGATTCATCAGTTATCGGGTTGTTATTTATATCCCAGGAAGCAGGAATCCAATATTCATGGGAAATGGTGAGATCCAACTCTCCTCCATCTCTTTAGTAAAACCCCAGGAAGATACTCCACCATTAGGAAGATGCCTTTGTTTCCAGGGCCTTTGGGAATCTTCTAGCAGACTTCATCAGGCACAAGCCAGTCAGCCCTATATTTCCTCTCCCTGCAAGGCACTGAATGGGTTATGTCTAACTTAGAGTTCAATGGGGAAAAAAAAGTGGGGGAGTCCAAGGTTTATTTTCTTACAACATACTTCATGGGAAAAAGAAGACCAGGAGGGCATAGACTGTCTCAAGTCTAACTTACCCACCTATATTAACAAACTCAAACCTTGCCCATCCCCAGATTTTACATACCTTAGCTCGCCCACTTCCACCAAAGATGGCCCTTGTGAGTAACTACATTGTCATGAGGACACAACTACTGTAATTCACAAGCAGGACCTCTTGTTCTAGAGCAAACATCCTGTGATGTGGGTTTGGGTCATGATCATTCAGACCGTGGGACTCAATCTGTCTTTCACCCCAGGAAAGATGTGCCACTAGCAGCAGTGTGACCATAGGAGCAGTTACACAACGTCTCTGTGGATCTTTTTTTTAAATTTTTTTTTAGTTGCAGATGGACAGCATGCCTTTATTTATTTTTATATGGTGCTGAGGATTGAACCCAGTGCCTCACGCATGCTAGGCAAGTACTCTGCCACTGAGCTACAGCCCAAGCCCTCTGTAGATCTTTTATACCTCTTGTTAAAGTAGTGTGTGTGTGTGTGTGTGTGTGTGTGTGTGTGTGTGTCAGGAATGGGGGTGCTTGTCTGTAATCCCAGCGGCTCAGGATGCTGAGGCAGGAGGATCACAAGTTCAAAGCCAGCCTCAGCAAAAAGTGAGGCGCTAAGCTAAATAAAATACAAAATAGGACTTGGGATGTGGCTCAGTGGTTGAGTGCCCCTGAGTTTAATCCCTGGTACCACAAAATTTTAAAAAAGTATGTGTGGGGGACAATTTAAATCATTTCAAGATATGGAAAGACTGTGGTGAGCATTAACACAGAACGTTTTCACAGATGTCACTGTGCATACTAAAGAAGAAATGTGTTCCAATCTCAATTACTTTAGGTTTAGGTAGTATGGTCTCAGCTGGCCTGAGAATTATTAATTATTTGGCACCCTCAGGAAAATAATGCTTATGTGCTTTAGGAATTTAATATTGTTCTGTCTGATTATTCTGTTTATCCACTCAAAACAACTGAATTTCACGGCTGGGAGCATAAATCAGTTAGAGCACTTGTCACATCATGCTTGTGGCCCTAGGTTTCACCTGCAATGTCACAAAAAGAAATTCCACATTGAGCTTATCGATATTAAATGTCAATAAGCTATGTCTTAACTCCAACTTCATTACAACAGAACAAAATTATGCTTTTTAAAATTTTATTTGTTCATTGAAAAGGCAGTACATCCACATAATACAGTTTTCTAAAACTATGAAAGGATACACAGCTATCTCCCTCCCAGTTCCCTGCCCTCAGCACCCACTGCCCCTTCCCCAAGGGAATCAAGGTTATCAGCATCTTGTATCTCTTTTCAGAAATGGTTTGTGTATATACAATTATGTACTTACCATTTTCCCTCTTTATATACACATCGTGACATACTATGCTGCACCTTGCTTTTCTTCCCTAATAATTTGGAGGTTGCTCCACATCAGTAACATAAATGATATCCAAGTTTCTTTATCATTTTTTTTCTACTTAGGAATCTGTTGTACAAATACATCACAATTTCGGGAAGCAGAATCTGGGGATTTCATTTGGACAGCTTCCAATATTTTCACAAACAGTGCATCAACAAACACCTCTGTGTGTTCATCATTTTGACAATCTTGAAGTTGAGTTGATGTCTTGGAAAACATTTGTGGTTTTGATTTTCTGGGAAATATTCTCTTTGAATGAAAAGTTTTTCCTGGACTTGCTATTCGCTGGAGGTTCATGTTGGGAAGATACCAGGAGTATATTCTAGGAAGATCAGTTTTTCTAACAAATGAGCTCCACACATACATTTGTTAGTTTTTTCCCTTTACTTTTCCCAAGTTACTAAACAGAAGATACTACAGGTTCTTCACAAGGAAAAGTCCCTTCTTTTCTCCAAGGTGCCCACAACTATTCCTCCTATCAGTACAGGCTACTTTCTGTAAATAAGGCTTGTCTGAGTATCTCCTTGTTGAGGCCCCTGCCTGTTTCTCCTCAGATACCAAATAGTCTAGGAAGCCTCCTACCTGCTCATGAACTCTGTTACCATGGTTACAGCTGCCTGTGGTGCTGTACCTTGGAGTGTATCGCGACCCTCTGCTAAGAGTCCTAACCCATGCTGCCTCTCATCTGTGGCCCTGCACTGGGTCTTGGTTTCCTCTGCCTCTGGAGGCCTCTGGTAGCAGTTGTCTCCTAATTTTAACACATATGGAGCTCACACTTTTGCTTCTTTTTCTCCTGTTGCTCTTGGGTGAAAAATGAGACGAAAAGAAGAAAGGCCATCTTTACTCCCTGTGTTTAAACCAGAAGTCAGAAGTACATTTAAAATATTAAATTGACACAACTTTCCTTTGGGGTACCTAACAGACACTCACTTTACTCCTTAGTGTGCCGTGAGCTTTGACTTCCGGGTCTGGCCTCTCCCGTGGGCCTTTTTTCCTGTATGGGTTCTCTGATGTACAATAAGGTTGGATTTTTGGGTAAAGGCTTTCCCACACTCTGTACACTTATAGGGCTTCTCTCCAGTGTGAGTCCTTTGATGGACAGTGAATGTTGACTTTTCCCTGAAGGCTTTGCCGCACTCTGTGCATGCATAGGGTTTCTCTCCTGTGTGTGTTCGCTGATGGATTATGAGCTGGGACTTCTGGCTAAAAGCTTTCCAACATACAGGACATTCATAGGGTTTTTCTCCTGTATGAATTCTTTGGTGTATAATGAGCTTTGACTTTTCTCGAAAGGCTTTGCCACACTCATTACATTTATAGGGTTTTTCTTCTGTATGAGTTCGTTGGTGTATAATGAGATAGGACTTCTGGGAAAATGCCTTTTCACATTCATTGCATTCATAGGGCTTTTCCCCTGTGTGACCTCTCTGATGTAGCATGAGATAGGACTTCTGGGAGAAGGCTTTCTCACATTCATTACACTCAAAGGGTTTCTCTCCAGAGTGAGTTCTCTGATGCACACCCAGATTTGACTTTTGGGTAAAGGTTTTTCCACACACGTCACATTCATAGGGCTTCTCTCCTGTATGTGTCCTCTGATGTACAATGAGAGTCGACTTCTCATTGAAAGACTTCCCACATTCCGTACATTTATGGGGCTTCTCTCCTGTGTGAGTTCTCTGGTGCGTAATGAGGGTGGACTTGTCACTGAATGTTTTCTTGCATTCATGGCATTCATGGGGTTTTTTCCCTGTGTGAGTGCTGTGGTGTATAATCAGATCAAGCTTCTGGATGAAAGATTCCCCACATTTAGTGCATTCATAGGTTTTCTCCCCTGTGTGGGTTTTCTGATGAACAATAAGGTTTGACTTCTGAGTGAAGGCTTTTCCACATTCATTGCATTCATAAGGTTTCTCTCCTGTATGAGTCCTGTAATGTATAATGACAGTTGACTTTTCTCTGAAGGCTTTCCCACACTCAGGACACTCAAAGGGTCTCTCTCCTGTATGAGTTCTGAGGTGTATAATTAGCTGAGATTTCTGGCTAAAAGCTTTTCCACATTCGGTGCATGCAAATGGTTTCTCCCCTGTATGAGTCCTCCAGTGGACAATGAGGTGTGACTTCTTGCTGAAGGTTTTCCGACATGCAGTACATTCAAATGGTTTCTCTCCATTTTTAATTCTCTGATGAAGACTAAGACCTTTCTTTCGCCTGAGGACTTTCCCGCATTCTTTATATCCATAGGGCTTCACTACAGGATTTGATTTCTCAAACTCGGTATGGAAGAATAATTTTGCACGCCCATTATCATGTTTCTTTTCCACAGCACTTCTAAATAAGTCTACATTATCTACCATATCATTTCCAAATGTTTCAAGTTTATGAGTTCTTTGTATTGGAATACCAAGGCTTGTACTCAGATGAAGAGTGTTTCCAAATTCATTACAGTCATGGCCATTCTTGGTAGTCATTATTTTCTTGTCAGGGAATCCAACTTGCATCAAGAGACATTGATCTTGGTCATCCTGATGCTGGCTCTCAATCTTTTCACCAACTTGGCAGACTTCTAGAAAGAAGTACAATAAATCATCTTGATACTCTGAAATTAGGGAATGGACCTTCTTTAGAAATACCCTGCTATATGACACTCTTACCTCATTTTAGCAAAGTCCCTAGCCTAGGAAAAAATCTTTTACTAAACTTCCACCTACTATCTTTTTTGTTGCCAATATCCATCTTAACCCTGATACCTCAGTTTCTTGCCTCAACTTTTACATCAGCTCTGGGGACATTATGGTCATGTGGACTATACCTGACTTATCCTGTTTCCACCTAGGAAGAAATGCAACAGTGCAATTCCTAGACTCAAGTCTTACAACAACACCGAATTCACATTCTCAGTGAATGACAGAAAAATCTTGAATAATTAGCCTGAAAAAAAAACAAAACTCTAAAAAATCACTGCCCAATATGGGTTTGCCAGTATATCCATCCAAGCTTGTATTCACAGTCCTTCAACACAATTATCTCTACTCCTGTGTGAGCTACTGCCTCTTAAAATACTTACTATTAATGCCAAATCCTCATATTCCATACCCACATAACCCTGCTGTCCTCCATATTTTGCTATATTCAGAATCTAGATAACTTTCAAGAGGCAATTCTGTCTTTTCAAAAATTTTACTCCGATTCTTCTATATAACGTAAATTTTTAATAATTTCTAATGTATTTGGTTATCTTTACCACTCATTTAGGTAGTTAAAACTGCAAAGCTTTGCCTATATTTTCATATTTCATCAACTGCAAGATGCACAGTATTTCATATTTTAACGTGTCTAAACTCAGATAACCCAAGCTTGCAAGCAATAATTAATTACTGGCAATATTTCTTTCTTAGTCATGTGTATTAACATTAGTGGTATCTTGAAATCACTAAAATATGGTGATTTTTGCATACCTATATATTTTTAAATCATGTTTTGTAACGTACTTTTTTCTTTACACTTTTCCCAAAAAACATGAAAATTTTCAAGCATGGAAAAAAGTTGAAAGAGTACTATAACTGCTCATATTACTGCTCAGATTCCATAATCCTAACACTTTGTCATAATAGTCATGGATTTTAAAATGGTTCATGTAGCTGTGGTTCTCCTTCCTATGACTTCCTTTCTTTGGATAGCAAAGCACTAGTTTTTAGCCAGGGATTAATACAAAATCACAGAAGAGCCCTTTGTAAAATGTACTCACAAGGACCCAAGCTTCACCCAAGGTCTGCAGCATCTGAACCTCCTTATGCGTTCAGAAGCAGAATGCCATCATGGGCTTAAAACAGACTTTCTCTGAGGGGCTGGGGTTGTGGCTCAGTGGTGGAGCCCTTGGCTAGCAAGCATGAGGCACTGGGTTCGATCTTCAGCACCACATAAAAATAAATAAATAAAAACAAAAGTGTTAACAAAAACAGATTTCCTCTGAAATTAAAGGCAACTTCCTGATAACTTGTTTGTCTCCAAGATTCAAAACAGTCTCCTTTGATATTAAAGCTCCAAATTGTTATAACTTCTGAACTTCCTCATACAGAAAATAAAAACTCCCTCCAGCTGATGTCAGATTCTCTGGCTAACTAAATCTGCAGATGTATGTTTCCTGCCTTTTGTCCCACTTTGCCTCTTATAAAAGCTTTCCTTACCCTTGAGTTTTCTGAAAATGGAGATTTGAGATAGAAAATGTCTCTTCCTTCAGTGTTGGCTATTTACTCGCCAGCATGACTCTAAGCATTTGTGGAGCAGTGAACTGCCAGCAAGGATCATCCCTTGAGCAACATAGCTCAAGCTTGCAGTGATCCATAAGGATCCAAAAGGAGGAGGGAGCTCGAATTTCAAGGAAAATCCCAGAAGCCATCTAGAGACACTTTTATATCCTGGGATTCATGCCCCCCACAACCCCCCCAACTCACATTCTCCCATATATCTTGCTATAGCCTCAAGCACTAAAAATTATTTGTTGGTAAGGGAAAAAAGGTTAGTTTGGCAAATGCCAGGTTCCCACTGGTTGTCCTCATCAGGGTGCACACGGAGAATTTTATTTTCGCTCTTTGAGTCTTTGGACCTTGAGTGGGTCATTTTGTGTTGACGCTTAGATAAGCCATTTGGTTGCAGGGTATTGGTTGACGAGGTTAAATTTGAAGGATGAAAATTTCCCAGCAATTCTATTGGTTTGTTTGGAGAGCTCTTTTAGGTTGGGTTTTGGTTTGGAAAAAGATTATAGCATTGCTTATATATCTAAAAATGCATGCTGAGTTAATGTAACTGTTTTATATATTGGTTACTTGGTGATTGGCTTAACAGGCTAACACTGATGTCTGCAGCAACATATTAATCTACTAAAATAGGGAATTCCATTTCAGAAGAACATATACAATTCCTGGGTTGGAAGGAATTATGGGCAGCTCTTTTGGAAGGTGCATATAACGAAGGTCCTGATCACCTTGAGGGATGTGTAGAAGGGCATAGGCAGCCAGAGCAATATGGTAAGTGAGAAGACTGGGGGCAGGGCCAGAACAAAAGAGCAGGAAGAGAGTCTTCCAATGAGATCAACTTCCTGCTTGACAAAAGTGCTCCTGGACACAAGTGGGGGATCCATTCAGACAAATACTTCTGTAATCATGTTCCTAAGCAGGAGATCCAAAAGAAAAAAAATAAAGCAGACATGTGGACAGAGGGGGCAGTAATCAGAAATAGTGAGGAGTGCATGGATAGAGGAAGAGACAGGGAAAGGAGGAAATTCGAGAGACCATAAAAAGAACTGGCCAAAACTCCCCCACCAGATTCCCAGTTCTGGGGCCACTTTTCTTCAGAGAAGTCTATCTGTATCTCTGTCTCCTCCACTTCTTGCTTGCTTCTTCTGTGTCCTGTTCTTTGCTGAATGGAGACAATGAACCCAGCACCCCTAGACAGCAAGAACATCTGTACCTTTAACTGCCCCATTCACCCCTAGGTGTTTAGGAGCTTTTTTCCAAGTACACTTTACTGACCCAAAACATTTCCCAAGCTCCTTGTATCATTCACCAGATAAGCCTCTATCAAAATCTATCCAAACCGGGTATGGTGCACATGCCTGTAATCCCAGCAGCTGGAGAAGCTGAGGCAGGAGGATCGCAAGTTCAAAGCCAGCCTCAGCAGAAGCAAGGTGCTAAGCAACTCGATGAGACCCTGTCTCTAAATACAAAGTAGAGCTGGGGATGTGGCTCATTGGTCTAGTGCCCAGAATTCAATCCCTGGTACCCCCACCCAAAAAAAAGATCCACTTTAATTTGAACTCATGAGTTTACTTTTTAAAATTCTGCATGCTTAAGTTATAAATTTTTGTTTTGATTAAAGGTTTTTTTAATTTTATCTAAGGGTCCCTCCACCCCAGTAAGAAATTGGTTATTCCAGTTTGTTGGTCTGAGTCTTTGAGATGTAAATTTTCTACCTGGCCTCAACTGAAAATGCAAAATTAAGATTTGCAGACTGCTTAAAGCTATATCAGATAACAGTCAGACTTTTAAAATGGCAAATATAAATTTTAAATTTTGAGATTTTCTTGTGTGCACCTGCTTATATATTATTTATTTGCATGGTACTGAAGTGGCTTATAGATAAGTAACATAATTTATAACCTATAAGTTACCCCAAATTCTTTTGATTCACACTTTAGTAAATCTGTGACAAGTTAATTTGAACTTATTGATAGTAAGGCTTTTGTTAAGATTTGGATATGAGTTGTCTTCCAAAAGGTCCTCTGTTAATGCAGGAATATTCAGAGAAGAAATGTTTAGATTAGAATAGCTGTAACCTGATCAGTCCATCCTAATTTGAATGGACTAACTTCCTGGTAACCATGGGAAAGCAGGGCATGGCTGGAGTGGGTGCATTAGTGAGGGCATGCCCTGGAAGAGTTCATCTTCCCTTAAGCCCCTTCCTTTGCTCTCTCTGTATTCTGGCCATCATGAGAAGAGCAGTATTCCTAAACCAATCTCTTCAACCATGCCTCATCATGGTCCCAGAGCAATGGAGTCAGTCCACTATGAACTGAACCTCTGATACTATGAGCCAGGTATTTTGGTTATAGCAATGAAAACCTAACACAGAAGTGCATACCAAAAACTGGGGTTGTTGCTGTAAGTAACATGACCATGTGATTCAAAAGCCTTTGGAACTTGTTTGTAGAATAAATTTAGAAACATTTGGAGATGCAGGCTTGAGAATGTTTACTCTGACATTATATATTAGTCATATGTAACTTGCTTTCGCTTTTTACAGAGGCTCACAGCTGAGAGCATTTGAATGGACCAATTGCTTGGAAACTGTGGGCAGATGGTGTGTGGCTGGGATGGGGTGGTCAGTGGGGGTATGCCCTGGAAGAGTTTATCTTCCCTGAAGCCTCATCCCCTTGCTCTCTCTGCTTCCTAGCTGCCATGAGCCAAACAGCTTTCCTCTGGCTGGCCCCTTCTGCCAAAAAGTTCTGCCTCACATCGCCCAGAGCATGGAGTGGACTGACCATGAAACTGTGAACCAAAATAAAAGTTGTTACTGACAAGTATTTAAGTCACAGTGACAAAAAGCTAACTAACATAGATGTCTTTAAAATCTGATAAATCATTTTTTTTCTGGCCTCCTAATCAGTTGGGATATTTGCCTAAGGTTTTTTTATTAATCCTTTGTTTTGCTGTAAATCCATTAATGAAAGCTTTTCTAAGTAGAAGTGATGATTGACCAAAAATGTTTATGTGACCTAATGTCAACACTCCGACAAAAACTGGAAGAGCTTATCTGCTTCTTTGTAATAAATGAGCTATGCTATTTTCCTATCCTTTGCTTAGATTGAATTCTTTTAAAATGCAGCTTTTTAAATAGTTTTCTTTTTATAAGGAAACCCTGAATTAAGAATTTGAAATCTTAGGGTTTTCATACCTCAGAAATTTTGTTTGCTTTTGCTAAATATGGAACCCCTTTATCTCTGTATGATATCCATGGTTTATCTAAAATATTGTTCAATAGATTTGAAACTTCACAAGTGAGCCTAAG